TCCCAGGCCGTGCGGTACCTGCGGGACCCGGCTGTGCATCCCCGGGATAAGCAGAGGATGAAGCAGGAGCTCAGCTCTGAGCTGGTAAGCAGCTTGGACCATCCTCTCTTGCTCTCCACTGCAAATATGGCTTGTGGGAGGAGGTAATTTTGTCCTTGGCTGCCCCATAGAGCCCCTTCCCCAGGGTGGGTCAGCTGGCAGAGGCACCTTGGGATGCACCTACTGGTGCCTGTGCCACTGGCAGCTGCTTTGGGGAGGGAGAGGGGATGTGTTTGAATCATACAATGGTTTGGGTTGGAAAGGACCTTAAAGATTAACTACTTCCAACCCTCTGCATGGGGGGTGTTGCACTTGACCATGTTGCTCAGAGCCCCATCCAACCTTCCCTTGAACACTTCCAGGGATGGGGCTTCCACAGCTTCCCTGGGCAACCTGTTCCAGTGTCTTACCACCCTCACACTAAAGAATTTCTTCTTCATGTCTCACCTAAACATCCCCTCTCCCAGTTTTAATCCATTCCCCTTTGTCCTCTCACTACAAGCCCTTGTAAGAAGTCAGCTTTCCTGAAAGAAGCTGACTTGTTCCTTGCTTCTCCTTTCAGAGTACACTGCTCTCCAGCCTGTCTCGTTACTTCCGCCGTGGTGGTCCCTCTTCACCTGCCAGTGGGGTCCTTCCGTCCCCCCAAGGAAAGTCTGCCTCCAAGCTGGGTCCCGAGGGGCAGGAGCCTTTGTTCCAGCTGGTGCAGGCCTTTGTCCGGCACGTGCAGAGATAGATCCTGCCCTGCCCCCCTTCCCAGGGCTTGCACAGACGGAGTCACATCCACTCCAGAAGGCATCACCCTGGGCAGAGCAGGAGGGGAGGGAAGTGGGGGTGGACAGGGTGCAGCCCCAGCTGTGGCAGCAGTTTCCCCTCCAGCTCCTGCAACCCAGTGAATGTAAGGAGAGCTGAGAGCAGCTCCCAGTGACCAGCCCCCGTGCACAGCCCTGCTCCCTCTGCCAGAGGATCCTGGCTGGGTATGAGTGCTGAACAGTCAGAACCTTTATTTTTATAGCTTGTTCCTCAGCTGGGGAAGCTGTGGCTGGAGGGAGAGAGGAGACAAACTTTCCGCTGGGCATTAACTCTGCTCTTTCACCAAGGTGCAGTCTGCCTCTCCCCTGCAGTCAGAGCCCAGCTGAGGCACAACCAAGGGATCAGCCAGCAATTCAGAGACCATCTTTCTACTGCTATTTTTGTATGGAATGGTTCAAGGTGAGATGGCGTGTGTGTGTGTGTGTGCTCACACCTCCCTTCCTCCTGCAGTCTGTGTGTTGGGTGTTGTTTCTCAAGAGCTCAGCGTTTTTAAGTCTAAAGTTCCATTGCTCTAGTCTTGCAGGTTTTTGTAACTGTGCCCTATTTATACTGATATTAAAACGTTTATAGACAGCAGCTGGGTTAATGGGTTTGTACTGGGCAGCACCAATCCTGCACCTCCTGTGGAGCAGTTCTGCTGTGTCACCTGGAGCTGTGGCTTGTAAGTGACAACCTAGATACTGTTTGTGCTGTTTGCAGTGATTATCATCACAGGTTGATTCCCTTGGCTTTCCCACATCCACTCCCTTCCTCTCATGCTGGGGAACTCATTGGAGAAGTTAACTACCACTATCAAATACTCCTCAGGAATGATTCTTCTGCACATGATGTGTGGACCAGGCAGTTTGTTCTGTGCACAGGTCCAAGCTCCTGCTCTGCCTGTTGCAGTGGCAGGGGAGGCCCTGGCTCCAGCTGGAGGACAAACACTCTGCAGGGAAGTTGGGTTGTGCTGTTGTAGCTCTCGAGATCAACAAACTGTTGAAGGTACCAAGGCTTGATGTGTGATGGAGACATGTAAGAAAAGGTCAGCCTGAAAGCAAATGTCAGTGTAGCTGTGATCTAAGACCCTACCAGTTCTTTTCTGAAGAGACACTTTGATTGCTTTTCCAGTCAGAACCTGTTTAATCTTGATGGTTTTAGGACACTAGAGTGAGAAAATTAATGGTGTTGTTCTAAGGTTGGGGTTTTTTTTTCCCTTGTAAGCTGAAGTGATGGTGATATTCTTGTACATTGATTTGACCACGTTTTACTTGCCCTGGAGGCTGTGGGGAGATTTGAACTAGCTGGGCTGGAGCAAAGTGGTCTTAAAGTAGAAGGGAGAGGGGCTCAATTACCTTCCAAGCACTGAGGAGAGCTGCTCTGCCAGTGAGGGGGTGGTGTCACAGTCCCAGGCCTGCTTCTGTTCAGAGGGGGTTACCTGGAACCAGGAACATGTTCTTCCACAGGGAACTCGGAGTGGGTGTGGAGAATGGAGGGTGAAGAGCTATGCAGAGAGTTTGGTGATGGGCAGCTACAGGGAGAGGAAAAGCTGGAATTCAGTACATCTGACCAAGTTCAGTGATGCTCTGGGCTGGTACTTGACAGCTCTTGTCAGTGTCTTTGTTACAGCTTTTGAAGCCACACCCAGGGAGCTGATCCTGCATTAGTGCTCCGCAACAACGGGTAGAATGAGGGTTCAGGGAGAGCTGATGGTGCCAGGCAGGAGTCCTTGGTGCCAGGTAGCAAGGAACAGTGGATGCTGTTGGTTACACCCGTGTTTTAGAGCTACAGCTTCACTTCAGACAGCAGCATTTCAGCCCTGAATTGTACCTTTACCTGCCCCTCAGCCTCAGAGGGGCTTTGGGAGCAGCATCTGCAGGTACCAGTGTGAGTGTCTGTAAAGCTGGTTAGAAGCAGCTCTGAATTCCCCATTTGCTCTTTCCTACTGCAGCAGGAAGGGAGGAACAGACCTGGCTGTTCTGAGGGGAGAGACACCATTTTCTGCATCATTAGGCTGCTGTTTCTGCTCAAGCTGTTCTTTCTCTTTCTTTAATGTACCAGGGAGAGGAATAACAAGGCAATGGGGATGTCACTGGCCTGAGGGAAAGGCAGACCTCCCTACTGGATGGAGGAAGGGAAGTGGATCTACAACAGGGTGGAATGGGGGTAGTGATAATCACAGCAATTGTAAAACAGATTAAAACAGCAGCACAGGGTGATGTCCCTATTCCCTGCCCTTTAACTAGGACAGCACTATGGCTACACCACAGAGCATTTCAGCAGCTGCTTTTCCCAGGAGTTTTCCAAGCTGGGTAATAGGGACATACTTTAGGATTTGAAATTAGCAGCAGATCTAGCTTCCATAACAACACCAACACTCTGTTAGATCTAGAATAGCAGTTCCAGTCTCTCAGCAGCTGAAGTCACACTGCTGCTCTGCTTCTGCTTTGGGTTAAGGAGGAGCTGGTGTTTCCTAGAGCTCCTGGATCTGTAGCACAACTGAGATGTGGCATCTGGGAAAGGAACTGCAGGGCATCAACAACTTCAAGGCATGTCCAGAGTTTCAGCTGGGACAGGAGGGATTAGCAGCTTTGTTTTGCTTTTATACCTGCCTCCCAAGACGAGGGTAGCAGAAGGGAGCAGCTCCCAGCCCAGCTGGAGGGCCAGGGCAGCCCTGAGCAGACAGAAAAGGCCAAGGCAGGAGGTCAGGCAGTTTGTTTATTGGCAAATAAGTGCTGAAAACCATGAGCCCTACAGAGACAGGTGCTCAGTGCCCTGTTACATTAGAGTGGTCACGATACCATGGGGGGAAGTGCAAAAGATCAATAAACAAGCAAAGTTAGTTCTGACATACCCAGGGGAAGGCTGTGAACAGAGAGCCTGGTGCAGGTGACATTCTCTTCCATCCAGCTTGAGTGGAGAACTAATTGCACAGCAGTGGAAGTTCTTTAGCTGAGCTCTGGATAAAAAGCTCGTAATAGAATTGAAAGACACACACCTGAGCACTCCCTTTGAGCTAAACCACCACATGCAGCCAGGGCAGCCTGGGTTGTTCTGTGTGTGAGCCAGGACTAGCTCGTGGTTGGAGATAACAAGTGGGACAATCCTGTACTGGGATGCACCAAGTCTGTTCACTGCTGGGAGGGGAGGGGGAAAGCATTAGTTAAATCAGTGATCTGGGGTGAACATAAAGTCAGGCTAAAACATGCCTGGAACAGACACACTGAAAGAAAAGCCTGGACCATTAACACAGGGAACAAAGCTTGTAAAAAGGCTTGTAAACTTTGCAGTCCAAGAGCAGTTTCTCAGAGGAAATGCAAGCAAGATGCACGGTCCCTTGCACTGAGGTTTCATTTTCGACATACAGCCCCTGCATGAATAGGTTGGTCTTCACAAACCTCCTTCCAGTTCCAGAGGACAGTTCTAGATGGAAGCCATCAGGCACCACCATAGCAAGCTGGGCTCTTGGAGGGCCTCACCTTGCTGCTCCCCCACAGGTCAGCAGGGTGGATGAGTTTAACAGGTTCAGAATTCTGAAATTCAGCCTCCTTGCCTTAGGGGCTAGAACATGTCAGAGGGTTTGTGTGGGACACAGCCCCACTGGAATGCTTGATGGTTTGACTGGGGCAATTCTGCTGAAGAACAGGAGGGGAGGGACAGACAGGCACTAACCCACACCAGACACAAGGGAGGTGGAACTTAAACTCTGTGAGCAGGTGCTGAGGGGACACAGCTGGTGCTGGCGAAGCCGCTGCCACCAGCACGGCTGGGGCGGGGGGAGGAAAATAAACAA